GAAGATTATTTGGACTACCCAAAACATTTAGTAGAAACAAGCTAACAAGCAAAAAATTGTTAGGAATCAATAAGCTGTTTTTAATCATTCAAGTATTTATTCTTTTCAAAGAAAAGATTCAGGGCCATGCTTACTATAACAAAACAATTTCAATGCCTGTCTTTCTTATATGTTTTAAGGTCATTGTCATATCATCTATAACTAATTGATAAAGTGTCAATGTTTGTGTTCATTAAGATATACTTGATACTAAGAAAGAAATTAAAATGCTTTCTGAGAAGAGTTTTGAAAGTATAGGGTGCAGTATGTGAAGAAAACATTTTCTTTCCTTAACATATTTTAAAATGAAGGCCTGTATGTGTATAAAAGCCACAGAACCATCCATACTTACTGAACTTGGTATAGTTTTGCAAGTCTGATTAATATGGCTCGGATATTTCTCGATTTTACTCTCCTCATTTCACCAACTTTGCCAGTTCCTGAAGATCTGCTTGGAAACTCACTGTGCTAATAGGCAAAATTGGCCTTTCTTTGTGTTTTCCATAAGGTAGCCCATCCTGAAACACTGACCTTTTAGTTTAATAACAGTTTTATTTGAGAAAATGTTCAGATCTTGAGAGCTGAAGAGTGATTTCAGAAAGGCCATTTTAAATAGTGGTCTCCAAATGGTGTATCTTTTTCTCTTCTGCACTTTGGAGCTGACTTATCAGAAGAAATATTGTTGCTTTCTGTTTTCTATTGATTTAAAAACAAATAATGTGAAGCTTAGATTGCTCAAAACCCATTGCCGTGCTGGTTTTTTTTTTTTGCCTATGGTCTGATTTGCTAGTTTAGATTTTAAACTCTTTATGCTAGGTCCTGTTTTATCTTGTGTTATTTAAAATCTCCCCTGTAGCTAAGGTGATTACTTTTTTAGTTGTGACCTTGGGCTTGAGACCCAGAGATTGTGATTTTTTTTTCTCCCCCTTCTTTCTGGAAATAGCTATGGCGTTAGAAAGGCAGCTGCTCTTTACTGACCAGAAGTGGCGTCATGCAGCTGGTCATCATCCTCAGTGGCCTTGAGCTTCCTGCACTTTTTGTTGTTGATGTTCTCTTTTCCTGCTTTCCACTTTTCTGCCTTCTCTTCTGGCCTACTGGATGATACCCCTCTGTGTGTGTCTGTTCTCTCCTTATCCCACTGTAAGTGGCAGGGCTGACCAGCAGGATGGGTAGAGAGTATAGTGAAAGAAACAGCAGGCCTCCAGGCTGGATCTCCTCACCACTGCCTCAGTGCAGTCTCACTGGGTCTCTGGCTTTGTTGCTGTCTTCCCAGCTGGCCACCACATCTTCACTGTTCTCTTTCATGGTGATCATATCAGAATGAAAACTCACTGCTCATTTGGCTTTTCCCTTTGTAGGAAGCCCCTATAATAAGAGGTTTAAAATGATATTATGCTAATTGAAATAAGTCAGATTCAGATAGGCAAATACTCCATGAACTCCTTTATATATGGAATCTAAAGAAGTCAAACTCATGGAAACAGAATGTAGAGTGGTGGTTGCCAGAGACTTTGGAGAGAGTGGGGAATAGGGAACTTTCAACTGTAGATGAATACATTCTGGGTGTACAGAACTTAACAGCATTTGACTGTTGTTTCTTTTTTTATTTATTTTTTTCTTTTGGGGTAGGATCTCCCTAGGTAGCACAGTCTGACCTTGAACAATTTAGTCCTCCTACCTCAGCCTCCCAAGTGTTGGGATCACAGGCATGTACCACCATAACTGGCAGCATGAAGACTTTATTTTGTAATATTGTTTTGTTTACAATTTGATAAGAGCAGATTTTAGGTGTCCTTACTTCATATACACAAATGATCACTATGTGTGTGATTGATATGTTAATTTGATTGCTATAGTCATTACTCAGTTCGTATGGGTATGAAATGATCATTTTGAATGTATATAATTTTTTGTCTGTTATACTTTGATAAGGTTGAAAGGAATAGTCCAAAACAATAAAAAAAGAAGACAGAAGATTGTTTTATCAGCTCATTTAGAAACTTTGTATTTAGACATGGTACACTGAGGTCTTACAGAGCCATATATTAATTATTAATTAAATTAAATTGGTTTTTTATTGAGAGTCTGATTGAATTTTGCCTGAGGAAACTTTTTGTTGGTGGAATTTGAAGTAATCTAGTAGAAGCGGCATGGTATTTTGGATGTATATAGATTGACAGTGTGTGAACTGGTATGTTAAACTTCAGAGTGTAGTTTGATCAGGTAGTGCTAACTAAGTTAATTATTTGTTTCAGTGTTTTTGTGTTTAATAGAATTGTGTACAACTTGAAAAAGTTTAGTGTCACATGGTTTTGCTTGCTTATGAGAAGTTGAAAATGTGAAAATCATCTTGTGGAGTGCATAGTATAGTACTTTGTAGCTGGCAGGTGCAACCATGCTTGGGTAAGGCCACCAAAAGTGAGGGACATTATTTCTTTTATTCAAAGTCTGGTTAGTAGAAAACCAGATTATTCAAATTTACCTTCACTCTCTCTGTTGTTTATATTGTTTGAAAACCTTTAATAATGTAAAAGAAACTAAGATTTGCTTGAATTCTAATAGAATTCTCTATTTTAGTGTTTTTCTAGATTTTGTGTGATCTCTTAAAGAGGTGGTTCTGTGGGCTGATGAACTCAGGGCCTTGTGCTTGCTAGGCTGGTGCTCTACCACTGAGTGACTCTGCCATTCCTTTTTGCAGTGGTTATCTTTGAGATAGGGTCTCCCTTTTATGGCCAGGCTGGCTTGGACCTTGATCCTTGTATTTGTGCTTTTCTGCATAGCTGGGATGACAGGTGCATGCCTCTGTGCCTAGATAATTGGTTGAAATGGGGTCTCCCTAACATTTTTCCAGACTAGCCTCAAATTTTGGTCTTCTTTATCTCTGCCTCCCCAAGAGATAGAATTATAGGCTTCAACTACTGTACCCAGTAGAGATATGTGATCATTTTAAAGGAGAGACTTTGTACCTTTCTCATCCTTTAACCAAGAAGTAAGGGAGAAGCAAAACAGAAAGATTGTGTAGAGTTGGAAGGGAATTTAGAGAACAACTTTGTGAGAAAATTGCTGTCCATGGGAGGTTAGTAACTTTCCCAAGGTCCCCCAGATTATAGATGGCCACGTGGTTATTAGACCTCAAACATTGTTTCTTTTATTCCCTGATTTTCCTATCCAGTGTTCTTTTTTTTTTTATTATATTCAAATACGTAACCCCTTACAGTATATAGTTCAGAGTGTTTTACATTTATGGAGTTGTGCAGCCATCATGCAATCTAATTGTAGAACATTTTCAACACCTGAAAAAAGAAATCCTGAGCTGGGCATGGTGGTGCACACATGTAATTCCCATACTTTTGTGGCTGAGGCATGAGAATCCTGAGTTTGAGACCAGCCTGGGAAAGGATAGCTTGTTAGCTTATCTTTCCCTGCTTTCCCCCTTTCTTACACTCTAGCAACCACTAATCTACTTTCTGTGTGTATGGATTTTCATATTCTGGACATTTAATATGAATCGAAGCCTGTAATGTGTAACATTTGTGCCTACCTTTCATACAGCATAATGTTCTTAAGGTTCTTCTGTATTGTACCTTGTATCAGTACTCATTACTTTTTATGGTCAGACAGTATTTCTATGGATGGATATACCATATTTTGTTATTTTTTGGGTAGGGTCTCACATTTTTGCCTGGGATTTACCTCAGGCCGTGATCTTTCTGCTTACACCTCCGGGATAGCTGACAGATGTCACCACGCCAGTTGAGATGAAGGTCTCACTATGTGGTCTTGCTAAGTTTTTGCCTGGGCTGGTCTTAAACTGTGATCATTATGATCTCAACCTCCTGAGTAGCTTGGATTACAGGTGTGACCCACATGCCAGGCCTTTCTTTTTTCCTTCTTCATGGTATTCCTTGATAGTTTTACTGCTTTCTGATAGTCTACAACTGAAAGAAAACATCCTTATAACTTTTCATATCCATTCTTCATTATTTCTCAATGTCAGCTATGTATTTAAAGAGGTTTTTGCAATTTACTGTAATTTTTATACATTAGCCCTGAGACAAGGCTCACATGACTTCTGGGTCATCAGATAATCCAAAGAGCAGAAACAGTACTGTGTAGTTTTCCATCTAATAGGTTGAACCATTTGAAATAATCTGTGTGTATTCCTATATCCTCCCAAATGGTTCTGGTGCTTTCTTGGACATAATTGTAGATAATAGGTTCCTAGAGAAGAAGACAGACATACTTTTTACTTATTTTTATGGAAGGCCTTTAAAGAAATATGTAAAACTTGCCTAGTATTTACCATCATAGCCGCATGAATCTTTACAAAATGTATCATACACTATCTTCTAATTGGAAAGATCAGATGTTTCAAATCAAATCACCAGGTATTTAGGAAGCTCCAGCTGTGGTCTTAGCACTCTTCTGTGTGTCTTCTCAAATGTTGGCACTTGTATTTGAGTGACATGTATCCCAAAAAGAATGTTTTCCAAATTTCCATAACTCATAAGTGCTTTTTCTCATAAATCATGGAAAAGTGAATATAAATTCAAATGATCTTCACTGTGTAATAAATGATTTTGTTAAATATTTAATTATTGAAGTGAGAAGATTTTGGTTTTATTTTCCTCTAAAAGTCCTGGACAGCCTGACTTCCCCCTTTCATGTAATTGTCAGACTTTAATGTTGGGACATCATTTTAAAGAGTTTGCACTTCATGGCCCAGTCCCCCTGGGTGTGGAAATTCCTAGGGCACTGAAGGACACTTGGTTAAATTCCTGGAGTGCAATAATTGGACTTTTCCACAGTGCTTAGGAAGTTCCATGGAGACACTGATCATCCAGCAGAACTTTGCCCATTCAGATCCATCTCAGGTGTCTTTTCCTTAGAGTTTTTTTTTTTTTTGCTTTTCTTTTTAGGAAGATGCTCATTTCATCTCCTCTGTGTTTTGTTGATTCTAGTTTCAGATGAAGAATTGAAAAGAAGAGTAGCTGAGGAGTTGGCATTGGAACAAGCGAAAAAGGAATCTGAAAATCAGAAGCGGTGAGTTCAATGACATCTCAGAGACTTGTGATATAAGAGAAGAATGATTGCAGTAAGATAAATAATTTGTGTATGACTGAAACTTCACAATCTTCTAAGCATATGAACTTAATCTCCTTTGAAATTGACCATAAATTCTCGTATCTGTTACGAGCTCTTAGGTATGAATACTGAGCCTTGTTTTTTCAATACATGAAAATTAGTTTTTGAGGATTCCACAGAAATTACTAATCTGTGAATATGTTTAAAACTGAAAATTAAATGGCCTGTTACTAGTTATTAAAGCAAATAGTATTATAGAGAGGGATGACTATCATGTTAGTACCCAGATTAACAAATAGTACTCATTAGTAATATACTCACTTAAAAATTGTGATGTTACAAACGTTTGTACAGTTGAGAGCAAAATCCTTTATAAAACTGCCCTTTCAGGATAACTACTCTTTAAGATTTTATCACTCTAGAATTTTTCTACATATGTCCTTGTATCTTATTGTCACCATTATTAATGCTAGTACGAATAGTAGCTTACAGAAAACTCATTGACGTGTTTTTGTAAAAAACATTGGGAAGCGACCCAAACGAGCATCCTGGGAACTGGATGGATGAATTATGGCTCGTGCCTGGACGGTCACACAGATCCTACGTGCTGATTCAGAAGGGTGTCAAACAGCCATAAACTGGGAAATAAAATGTCCTAAATAGCATAGTCCTGTTTTTTTTTTTTTTTTGGTTAAAAGTAATACTTTTTAAAGACCTAAAGTATATACTTACTCATAAAAATGTGTGAATACATTTTATTCTAAGATTGAATCAAGTACTTCCCATCTGTGCAATTTCTGAAATTTGCATATAGCACATAACATTGTGCTTATGTAGTCATGTGCATGTCTTTCTACTGTGAACTGCACGCACATGTGTGAGACTGAGTCGATGCTTACTATGCATTTGTTTTGGACTACCTCACTATATTGTTTAAGAGAGTAATGTAAAGAATTTTTGAATTGGATTGTAGTCTTCACTGGTCATATATTTTAACCTCTTTGAGCCTAAACTATTTCATTTCCAAAGTGAGTTTAAAGCATGTTCTTTAATATCTTTTCTCTTCTGACAAACTGCTAAACTAAGTTACAATGTGCACAAAACCTATGGTACAGAATATGAGTTGTCCATTAAGACCATCATTTTCTTAGGAAATAGAGAAAGCTTATGGCATAGGTTTTAAAAAAATCAAGATATAATTAGTACTGTCAAAAGGGTCTGTGTATAGTTCAATAATTTCCCTTGTAGCACTTTATAATTATTTAATTGAGCTAGGTTGATAGAGTATATAATTAGGTAGTAAAAGTTTAATTGTTAAAAAAATTCAAATAACTTTCATTAGGCAAAGAACATCAGTGTGTTATTGGAGCTTTTCTTGTATTTGAAATTTTATTATTCTTAATTAAAGTTTTTCGTTAAGTTCATATTTACTTTGCTTACTATATTTTACATAGGATTTTTTTTTGGTTTTCCTTTCTTTTATGGTGTAGGCTTTTTGTTAAAGTAACTCTCACTGTGGTGTGTGTATTTGTACATTTTCTTTCATTATTCAACTCCCAATTGCTCTCCCTTGGTCCATGAAAGGGACAGGGCAGATGAGTTGAATAAAAGGTCCCAGTGAGAGCCAATTTCATATCTCATGTGGAATGGGGTTGACAGCCTACCTGTAACCTGTACAAATGACTATTGATAAAGAATTTATTTTCTGTCACCTTTAAGGAGAGCAGAAGGTGGTACAGTCTTTATATTATTTTTTCTTTTTAAAAAATGTTTTGTTTGAAGCCTCCTTCATGGAAACTTTCCAGCTGTCAAATCTTGGCAAAAATGTGTGTTCTTCTGTATGATAGCTGCTAGAAGAATCAATAGCTGTTTTTTTTTCTTTCTTTTTTCCACCAGAGAAGAAACTTCAGAAAAAGCATTTAAAAAGTTTCATGTTCAGTCTCTTAAAAGTGACTTTTTTTGGAGTGACAGAGCATTTGTACATTATTGTGTTTGTTGCCTAAATTTGAATAAAAATTTGTAAGTAGTTTTGCAAAATGGTTCCTCATACCATTGTAATGTCACTTGTACGCATCTTGCTGACCAAGTTTTCTCTTCACCTCAAGTGCTCACAGACCTGTTGACCAGTTCTCTAGCACATTAGATCTGTACACAGGAACAAATACATGTAAGTTTCAAATAAACTTGTTTGAAAAGGACTTTGTAATTAATTTCAGTTGTGATTGTTTTCTTTATATAATAGCTGTTATTGTAACTTTTAAACTTCTTACTCTTTTAAATTGGAACATAAAAGTTGTACATATTTGTTAACTTCCATGTGGTGTTTCAGTGGATGTATACAGTATGTAGTATTCAAATCGGGGTAGGACTGTCTTCTGATATTTATCATTTCTTTGTGATGCAAACTTTCAAAACTTTTTTGATGTTATCTTTTTACTGTGAAACATTTTAAGCTTCCTCAAAACCAGAGAAGGGTCCATGTGAATCCCTGTAGCTGCCACACATGTTTTTCACAGTTCTTGCTACACTGTACCCTACTTACTCTGCCAGGTGGTGAGCAGTGAAGAGAAGCTGAGAATTTATTCATTTATTTATTTATTTTGGTGGCACTGGGGTTTGAACTCAAGGCCTCACACTTGCTAGGCAGGAGCTCTTACTTTTGAGCCATTCCACCAGCCCCGAGCAGTAAAAGTTTTAATGGGCTGGTGAGCTTTGTGGCAGAGAAATATCTGAAAATATCTTCCATCAGGATACGTTAAATAGGAACCTTGCTTTGGATTTCTTTGGTTGAAAGATGGAAACTTAATCCTGGTTAACTCAGGAAGCAAGAAAAATTTTAGGAGCATGTTTGATTGTTCAAACGGAAGACTAGAGAACTGTTATCTAGGGAAGAACTAGAAACTACTACAACCATACACAGTGGGAGGTAGTTCCTCAAAATGAGATCAGGATGAGGGCTGTGTAACAAAGGGGAATAGTAAGTAGGTGGCGGAATTTCATTGAATTGACAATGCCATTGATTTTAAGATATACCACTAAGAAAAAAATTGCTATAAATTACAACACAAGTTTGTCTCTTAGGGTTTTATTATTGAGACAGCTCATTAAGACTAATTTTGAATTTTAAAAATATGTTACTTGTGAATTCACAAAAAGGAAAGAGTAAGCAAAATACATTGGTAAGGGGACAGTTCTCAACTGGGGAAGATTTTGGTCCTCTGGGGACATTTGACAATGTTTGGAGATATTTGTGGCTGTCACATTTGTCAAGGGTTTTTGGCATATACTGATAGAGGCCAGAGATGCTGATAAGCATTCTGTAATTTACAGAATTAAATTCTTCCTGCTACCACTCCCCACAACAGAGAATTATCTGGCTTAAAATGTCAGTTATGACAATGGTCAGAAACCCATGATTAAAGTATTCTTCAGACCTGTGCACATTGGATTTTATTCCTCTGTGTGTAGATTTTACACCTACATTTGGACTCAGGGTCTTCATCTCCTTGTTTTTCTACACCATACCATATTCTGTGCCATCAAAGCCTTAGTGTCGCAGTATTCCTTAAAAAGAATGTTCCAGGGGTTTTACCAGGCCAAAGCTGCTGATTCTAGTTCTGTAAATGTTGATGCCTATGTGTAGGCTATGATAACTGGGGCAGGGCTGCCACCTGGCAGACAGCAATTTTGAGATGCCTTTAGGCTTCCATGAAACCATGGAAAAGTATTATCCTAGAATTTACAAATATAGCCCCCATTCACTGGCCAGACCATAGAATCTGGAATGACTTCCTAAAGAGGTGGCCTTACCTTGCCCTGGTACCAAAGCCCTTTCCATTTCTCTGTTTCCATTTAGATTCCATTTAGAAATCACCTAAACTGAGGAGATTTCCTTAGGCCATGAAAATCACCCCACTCCTTGTAGGTTCTGTTCACTTAACGTAGGCATGGCACACTCAGACTTGCTCCAGTGGAGGTTTCTTGCTAGGGCCACAGTGACAAAACAGCTGATTATAAGCATTACAACTATATATGTGTTGTAATTTTTTAAAGAACATTTACACCAGATTCTCTGTTCAGTGCATTACAGATTTATGCGATTCTGAGTGATTAGCTGTTTGACAAAATCATGCCTCCAAATTGCCAATATATTCATCTACACACTAAAATTGTTGAGTCTAATTTGGAGTCATGCCTTTGCTTAGCAAGACATCTAATGGACAGAATAGTATCTTGCCATGCTGAGAGTTCAGCCCAAATGCCCATGACAGCCATCTGTTTTTGCTGTGATAGTGGTCAGATGATAGCTGACCATGTTCTGTTGCAGCTACAACAGGCCAGTATAGCAAGGACATAGTGTGCTACAGTTTGAGTACAGTCTTTTAAAATGTGATTTACTTCTCCTTTTTGTCCTGCCTCCAGAAGTCATTCTCTGACAGCAAGAAAAATGTGACTACTTATGACCTTTGACCTTTGGCATCTGAATTTCACTGCTTCACCTACAAAGACAAGTGAAAGTATTTCAGTTTCAATAACTTTTCTTCAAAACACAAAGAAAGGGAATAGCTGCTTGATGTTGTAACTGGTTGTACATTACCCTAGATTTCTTGTTGCCTGCTTTTAAATGAATATCAGCTGAGATTTTCCCTCACTTTTAATTATTTGGAAGATTACATTAGATCTGTGAATCTTAAAAATAATTAATTTAGCTTAATAACTGGTTTAGTAGATTAGTCATAAATTTTATTAGCTGTCTGGTTTGAAGTCTAGCACAGTCCATTTATTTTTCCATTGATAGCAATATGAATGCCATTAAATAGGAGGATGAAATTGTTTAAGGTACATTGTGTACACCTATGAAATTTTCACAGTGCAACAACCTTGTACTAGTAATGATTCCTAAAAATAATTTAAAAAATGTTACTTGTACTTTTTAGTTTCTTATAATGATGAAATTC